CCTCCCCCCGCCAGCATGCATGTGCTCAGAGCTACCAGCGGCGGGCCCTCAGCCTGCGCCTGGCCACGCAGCTCAAGGTTCAGCCTCGAGACAAGCTGGGCTTTGTGGTGGACGTGGAGCCAGGCACCCGCTGCTTCAAGCTACTCTTCCCTGCCAGCCGGGAGACCCTGCCTGACCCGTGCCCTGTCCATTTTCACTCCCTGCAGCTGGCTGAGCACCCCCACGACCTTGAGAGCCGGCGGGGCCTACAGCTTGTGTGGCGGCGCCGCATCTACTCTGTGCAGGAGTCCAAGCAGCGGACCCCGCCGCCCGGCACCCTGACCGACCCACACGTCTGCACCATCGACACAACCCTGTGGCAGCGGCTGCTGGTGCTGGTGCAGCAGGAGCGCTGGCCGGAGGCGGCCACCCTCATCCAGAAGCACAGTGGCAAGGGGTGTCAAAGACGGAAGCTGGTGCAGGTGAACCGGAGCCCCTGTGGCCACTTCCTGGAGGTGGCCCGGGAACTGGGCAGCGGGGATACTCTGCAGGTCCAGGTCAGCGCCAGCACGCAGCGAGGCTTCCTGGTGCCCACCCTGCAGCTGTGGACCGTGGCGCCTGGCCTCAGTCTCTGCCTGGAGCATGCGGAGCATCCAGTCAGCTGCTTCTCAGGCCACGCACAGCAAGCCTCAAAGGAGCGGTACTGTGACGAGGATGAGTACTCGCTCATATGGGGGCCCCTCTGCTCCCAGGAGTCCGCCTCCAATGCTGTTGCTGAGAACGAGTCCATTGTGCTGCAGCACGTGTGCATTTCCTGGGATGCGGAGAGGACACAGCAGGGGCAGCTGCAGGGCGCCTTCCACCTGGACCCTGCCTTCCTCCAGGAGAACTGCACTGATGTTGATTTCAGCTGCTGCTACCTCTGCATCCGGCTGGAGGGCCTCCCGGTGCCACCAGCCCACCCGGCCTCTGGGCCCAGCAGCCTTGGCCCCCTCCTGAGCATCGATCCTGACACATATACCTGGGTGGCCCACGGGCGGGTGGACAGCCGTGACCAGGAAGACCAGGTAGACTGTCAGGAGGCCCCCAGGGGAGTGCATTTCTTCATCTACCACATGGCCATGGAGAAAGTACCAGAAAATGTGCTGCGGCCCGGCACCCTGTTCACAGTGGAGGTGGTGCTCAGGCAGCTTCCTGACCTGTGAGTGGCGCCACAGTCTGAGGCCAGGGAGAGGCGGAGATGGGAGGGTGGATGTGGGCAACCCCTTCCTCGAGACTTTCGGTGACTTTCCAGTATCACCTGCAGCCGCAAGGAGCAAGCCGTGCGCAGGCTGAAGAAGGCATCTCCACTGGTCATCAGCATTGCCCTCGGCCGGCCCCTGCTGCAGCCCCGTGTCCCCTCTCACCAGCGGCCCTTCTGCAGGGGTAGGTCTGTGCCGCCCCCTCTCTCCCCAGCCCTCCCTGCCCTGTGCGGGTGCTCAGGGTGGGCTGCTCTGCACCTTTCAGGGACTGCTACCAGGCTCCTGAAGCAACAGGCCTATGACATCCCCGGGGCCCACCCCAAGCTGAACGCCAGCCAGAACAGGGCCATCAGGCAGGCTCTGGAGAAGCCATTTACTCTTATTCAGGGTCCACCAGGTGGGGTCTGCGTCGGGAAGTGGGAGTTGTCCCAGGGAAAGCACAGGTTGTGGGGGCCCTGGGGAGCCAGAATGTGCACTGTTTACTCTGCTCTCTGGCCACAGGTACAGGAAAGACATTTGTGGGCCTCCACATCATCTTCTGGTTCCACAAATCAAATCTGGAGCAAGTACCAATCAGGAGAAGTCCTGATGGCGGGGAGCCACTGGAAGGCCCATGTGTCCTGTACTGCGGCCCCTCCAACAAGTCCGTGGATGTCCTGGCAGGTGAGCTGGGGGCCGCTGTGGGACTGGGGGTGCTGGGCCCCAGTAGACAGTTCCTCACATCTCCTGCTGCCCCAGGAATGCTCCTGAGTTGGAGGGCAGAGCTGAGGCCCTTGCGTGTGTACGGCGAGCAGTGCGAGGCCACCGAGTTCCCAGTGCCAGGCATGGGCAGCAGGGGCCTTTGCAACAAGAATCCCAGGGAAGGGAGGCCAGGCCAGGCCCTCAGGTGCGTGGCAGCCTTTCGCCTGTCTGCTCTTTGGCGGAGTCCAGACATCAGACGTAGGTTCACTAACACTGCCTCCACCCCAGGAACATCTCCCTACACCACCGCATCCGGCGGGCCCCCAACCCACATGCGCCAAAGGTCAGGGAGTTTGACGCCCGGGTGAGCAGAGGGGAAGTCTTCTCCAAGGCGGACCTCACTGTGTAAGTGGCAGGGCTGGGATGTGGAGCTGCCTGCTGGCCCGTCCATGGGTGACGGCAGTGTCCTGTGCAGGTACAGGAGGGTCATGTGGGAGGCGCGGAAGTTCGAGCTGGCCCGGCACTCTGTCATCCTGTGCACATGCTGCTGTGCGGCTTCACACTGCCTCCAAACTCTCAAAGTCCAGCAGATCCTCATTGATGAGGCATCCATGACCACCGAGCCTGAGACTCTCATCCCTCTAGTGCACTTCTCAGGGGCCAAGAAGGTGAGGGATGGTTGGGGGGCGCCAGTGGCCCAGGCCGGTAACACCGGGTGCCCAGGTGTACAGCACTGGGGGAACAGTCGCGGGGACCTGGGGAGCCTCCGGGTGAGGGATGTCAGGGCCATGCCTGCCTGTGCCTCCAGGTGGTCCTTCTTGGGGACCACAAGCAGCTGCGGCCTGTGGTGAAGAATGAGCACCTACGAAACCTGGGGATGGATAAGTCCCTCTTCGAGCGCTATCACAGGGACGCCCACGTGCTGGATACCCAGTATCGGATGCACGAGGTCATCTGTGCCTTCCCCTCTGCGGAATTCTACGGTGGGAAGCTGAAGACCTGGCAGGGCCTGAGGCGGCCACCCAGCATCCTGGGCCATGCAGGCAAGGAGAGCTGCCCTGTCATCTTTGGCCATGTGCAGGGCCACGAACAGAGACTGCTGGTGACCACAGAAGACGGGAATGAGAACTCCAGGGCCAACCCGGAGGAGGTGGCAGAAGTGGTGAGTGTCAGAGGCCATCCCTAGAACCTCGTGTGTCTAGGAAGGTTCCCTGCAGGAGGGGCAGGAGTTGGGGCTGAGGGAACAAGGAAGGCTCCTGTGTCTGGAACAGAAGGGCCAGGGGCCAGCTCCACCTGCCTCTTCGTTCCTTCAGATCCGCATCACCAAGCAGCTGACACTGGACCGAAAGGTGGACCCCAAAGACATTGCCATCCTCACCCCCTATAATGCACAGGCCGCAGCCATCAACAAGGGCCTCATGCGGGAGGGTGTCACTGGAGTGACCGTGTCCTCCATCACCAAGAGCCAGGGTGAGGCTGGCTTTGAGGGAGGCTGAAGATGGGGGTGGGTGCTGCAGATGTGAGGAACGGTCTCGAACCCATCCCTGCACCCAGGAAGCGAGTGGCGCTATGTGCTGGTAAGCACTGTCTGCACCTGCCCCAAGAGTGACGTGGACCATTGGCCAACCAGGAGCTGGCTCAGGAAGTTCCTGGGCTTTGTTGTGGACCCCAACCAAGTGAATGTGGCCATCACCCGGGCCCAGGAGGGGCTCTGCCTTATCGGTGAGAGATCGAGGGCTGGCAGGGACTGGGATGAGGCAGCTCCCAGGAGGCAAGGGTGGGCTGTGAGCTGCCCCACTCTCCCGCAGGAGACCACATCCTACTGAGCTGCTGCCCCCTGTGGCGCCGCCTCATAGACTTCTGCAAGGCCCAGCAGAGTTTCGTGCCTGCCAACAAGGTGCGGGTCTGGAGGAGGCCAGCCGTGTCGCTGTGAAGATCCCCCAGCCCAGCTCTTGAGTGCCAGGGGTGTGGGTGGGCCCTGTGGCAGAAGCCCATGGGAAGCAAGGCTTGCATGATCTTCCGTTTGTGCCTGACTTGCGGGGAGGGAGGAAGGGGGCTGGGCCTGTTTACACTCTGCTTTGCTGCCTTCGCCAGGACAGCCCCCAAAGCTGAGGCTTCGGGCCGATCCTTCCCCTTGAGGGAAGGCCCTTTCTCTGCCCTCACTGCCCTCCGTCCTTCAGAGGCTGCCAGGCCAGGGAGGGCAGAGCTGAGCCAGAGGCCTTGCAGCAGTCTGGCCCAGCCCCCTCCCAGGAGGCGAAGAGCTGTTGGTACACCGCGTGCCAGGTGTGAGGTACCCCAGCTCCACCAGGTTGTGCATCTTCCCTGAGCTGTGTGGCCTCCACACAGGGTCCTTGGGACACACAGTCGTTGGCCTCCATGGGGACAGAAGACAGGCAGAACTGGGCCCTTAACTGCTGCTCCTTATAACCACCATTAGTGTTTTCTTGAGATACTCAGGGACTTAGCATGGGTCCTTGCTTGAGTGATAATGGAAGTGGAAACGAAAGCAGGAATTGTAGGAAAGGCTATAATTACGAGAAAATAAGGAGGAGAGCAGTTCTGATAAAAATCAAGCCAATCCCTTAGAAAGTGAGCAGGCAGGGAAAGGACTTCAGTTCGGAGTGGGCAGAGGGGCCGGCTCTGCAGGACCCCCCTGGGTGGGCTGGGGTCTGGAAGGTCACTCTCCCCTGTGGTTCTAGCTCTGGAGGAATCCTCCTGGCTTGAGGGCCTTAAGGGCTGATTCCATCCCCACGAAATGATTATCTCTGTGGTGGTGTTGGTCATGTGAGGCTCTGTGCTTCCTGGTACCCAGGTCACCTTGTTCAAGATGATGGCTGGCGATTGTAGTCATCACTCCAAAGGGAAAGGGTCTGGAACTGGAGAGTGCACACGCTGGTAATCGATGTCCTGAATCTTGAAAATTACCTTAGTTATTCGGTGTCCTTCCTTGGAGGAGAATAAGATAGGCTAGGTAAATTTAAAGCTAATCAACTTTGTGGACTTAAAAAAAAAAATGGTTGCTGGTTGTGGTGGTGCTGTAATACCAGCACTTGGAAGGCTGAGGCAGGAGGGTTGCCATGAGCTGAAGACAGCCTGGGCTCCATAGTGAGTTCAAGGTGAGCCTGAGCTGCATAGCAAGACCTTGTCTAGGAAAAAAGAGAAAAGGTTAACATACCTATAGCCAGTCTTTTAAAGTAAAGAACACCAAATGGAAGTCAAGCTTCATTCTACTTTTAGCTGACCTACTGGGTTTTGTAGGTTCAAGTGAAGAGTGCAGTTTTTAGCAAAAACTCATTTAAGTCCCTATCAGAAGAAAACACAAATCATGCTTCTGATGAGTAGCCAGGTAAGGGACCAGGAGTAGCCTTTTGTCCCCACAGTGGTCTCTGACTATGTCTCAGGGACTACAGATGCCCAAGCGATAGCTAGAAGCAGATGGTTGATCTTCATTTCACAAAACTCTGGGTCAAGCCCTGTCTCAGCTCAGGTGTAGGCACTTAGAGAGTGTCTGCCTAAAAGTTGTCAAAGCCAGCTTAGGTTTACATAACCCATCTCATCTCTTCAACTCTGAGCATCCCAAGATAAGAGGTTTATAGGAACGGTCAGCTACACCCAGGGGTCACTGCTGCCCTAAACCTGGGATGACCTTGGGTTCCAGAAGAGCCTCACAAGATTAAGGCTGCCTGAACAGACTGCGATCTTGTGGAACTGAATTGCCCCTCAAGCAGAGGACTGCTCTGGGAGCCATCTCGCGAAGGCAGAGCCGAGATGATCATCAATCAGACTCATCTCCAGCAAGTCTATGCATCCTGGCTGTGCTGTTCTGTGAAGGGGCCGGGCTGTGTGGCCTTCAAGTCATTCAAGCTGGAGCCCTTTTTCTGCTTCCTCTTACTTTCCGACTCTGCCTAGCACATCCGCCTGTGCCTATGCTGACACTGATGTGTTTTACAATTCTCTTTTCGTGATGAGAGTTGAGCCTATTTTACTGGGCTGTTTGGGGACCTCCTCAGACCCCATCCAGACAAGCTACCTGGGAGCGGGTGCAGTCTCCCTCCTGCAGGCTGTGTAGGGGCTGGGAGCCCAGACTTGCAGTTCCCCTCCCATGTCTTGAGATGCTGCCTGTGCTAGGAGGCGTGGGCCTCCCTGTGGCCCCCCTGTCTGAAGCAAATGTTCTTCACAAATCAAGTTTCTACATTCCAATTTTTGTATCTCTTCACAAACTGTCACATGATTGAGTATTAATTTTATTACCAAGATCTATCTGAAAGCTCTCCTTACCTCTGGGTGTTGTTGAAGTCTGGCTGGGGTAAAGAGGCAGACTTCATCCTTCTGGGGTGGTGGCCATAGAGGCGGTCAAGGGCTCATGGGGGACAGAGGGCCTGTGAAGAGGGGCGGCGGCACCCCTTATGGCTGAGGAACATCTGTGCCAGGACACAGGAGGCTGGGTGGGTGGGCAAGCTGAAGGCAGGCCACAGCCAGGGAGCTCTGTTCACCCCACTGTGCTCAGCCCCCAGCTACGCTGACCCAGAAGCTGCTTGTGGGGTGAGGTGACTCCTACCAGGTCTGAAATTACTCCCTTGGGCACCACTGCCCCTCCATGGTGACTTGGGACTCATAATCTTTCAGCTTTCAACTTGTTGGTGGCCAGGTTCCTTCCCAGCACCAGCTGCACACAGGAAAAGCAGAGCAGGGCCCTGTGCCCTTGTGCCAGCACAGAGGTGGATCAGTGGGTGGGATCCAGTATCAGGAGGTTTCCTGGGCCCATGTGCTGCCAGAGGGAGGGACAGCAGGAGTAGCTGCTTAGAGGTGGTTTCTGGGTTGGTCATAAAGGTACAGTAGAGTTTGGGGTATTTCCTGAGCTGAGTGGGCATCCTGAGCAAGCATAGTGGGACTTCAGGAGTCAGGGAGGGCTTCCAAGAAGAAGGGGCCTTGAAACTGCAGAGATACACGTGGTGGGAAGCAGGACAGTACTGGAGCTAGGCAGTGAGGGTCGTTGACTTGTGAGAAGAGCAAAAGCCCAGCTCCTGCAGGGACGAAGATGAGAAGGGGGTGGGGTGGGGTGGGGGCGAGCCTGTGCCCTCGCAGGAGGTGCCAAGACCTAGCTAGCTGCCAGGTGAGTGTGCCAGGGCCTGGGACCCATCTGTACATCCTTTGGCCCCTTCCCAGGCCTCCCCTCTCCAGTGCCGCCCCTCCCTTGACACAGGTCCTTTGCAAGGAGTATGCCAATCTGCCCTGAGCCCCTGGGATGTCCCTGACCAGTGGGAGACCTGGATGGGAGCCCCCCACGGCCACACGATGCCACTGAGTGTGACAACCCTGAACAGCTCATAGGAACTGTGGAGAGGTCAGGAAAGGGAGCCCAAGCCCAGCCTGGCACAGCACACTCTCCAGAGCTAGGGGAGGGTGGGCACTGGAACCCTTCTGACACGGCTGGAGGCCCACCCCTGCCCCCTGCCAAGAGGAAAGAGGGTCCCTGCTCCTTCCAGATCAGATCACCTCAGAGGGCCTACTGTTCGTGACCAGTGTGAACGGTGGACAGGGGGGCTGGGCATGGTGTACAGGTACGTCTGGGCTCCTGTCAGCTCCCCTGGCTCACCCAGGGTACCAGGTGCTGGCCTTCTGGACCTGGAAGAGCATCTCGTGCATCACCTGGATATACTCCTGGCTGTGCCAAGGTCCTGTGAGCAAGCTGGGGAGCCCAGGAAAGGGCGTCTCGTCAGCTGTGTGGGGCGGGACCACCAGCAGCTGGCCAGAAGGGACTGTGGTGGTGGGGTGGGCACCCCAGCAGCTACTGTACTGGCTGGTGTCTGGGGGAGACTCTGGGCAGGCAGGTCCCTCTTGCCAGAAGCCTCACCCACCTCAGGATGGGGATGCCATGAGCTTCAGCTCTTAAGGGATAAGGACTTTGGTTTTGAAAGTCAAATGTCCTCTTTGTCTCGGGCATCCTGACCCCAAGGAAGCTGGGAACATCAGCATCAGGGCTGTGACTTCCCTCAATGGAGTCCAGACTGGACCCCCAAGTGTCATTCCCCTCAGTGAGCCCCAGCCTAGAACAGGAAAGTGGAGCCTGACTGCCGGGTGCTGAGGCGGAGTGGCCAAGTCTCATCATGGGCAGCAGCCAGTGCCAGTGGTGGTGCTTCCGGTCCAGTGGCCAGCTGTCCTGAAAGGTCCAGCCTACGGCCTCCCCTGGAAAAGAGCAGAAGCTGAGGGGTCCCTGGGGTTATGCGGTGCCGGGCCATTAGGAAACCACTCATATGCCTGCTGCTGCCTTAAACCCTAGCAAGTTTGTTTAATTGTGCATATGTATACTCACTCCTCTTTATTAGTGGATAAATACTAGAAAATCATCTCTCAGAAGGTACAGTCAAGGGCAGGCTGGGCAGCCGCGTGGGGGTGAGCCCCTCGGGGGGGCCCAGGTTGGTCTGCAAAGAAAGGCTGTCCCTCCAGGGCTCGTACACCAAGGTGTAGCTCTCTGCCCTCTTGATGGTGAACTTGTAGGTGCGATTGGGCAGCAGGTTGTGGACTTCAAACGTGCAGGCTGCTACAGGGATGACACCACACTGCATGCATTCCTGCTGTGTCTGCGGCTCCAGCAGCTTGAAGTGCAGCTCAAACTGCTCCTGCGCTGCCGGCTGGATGGTGACAAACCAGCGCAGGCTGACCCAGTCCTGGTGGGCCACCGACTCCTTCCGGTCAAACATGACTGGCATCTTGGTACTAAGCATGAGCCGGATGTGTGGGATCTTGGTGGCCCCGATGTCAGACACCAGGCGGTGCTTGACATGCAGGCGGCCTGGCACCATCATGGCCAGGAAGTTGTCCATGATGGCTGACAAGTCCGCCAGGCGCTGCTCCACAAGTCCCCAGCCGGCCAGGAAAGGCCGTGGGTCTGGTGACTCAAGCAGGGAGTCCAGCTCTAGGCGGCCATGGTCCAGCTGTTCCAGCAGGTGCCCAAGTAGCAAGAGCTGGATCTTGGTCTGTGCCGTGCCCACCTTCTTCATGCGCTGGAACTTCCAGGGGTCAATGAGCTGAAGCATGGTGCTGGGCAGCACCAGGGAGTTCTGGTCACCCAGGGCCAGGTGCTTGGGGAGGATCTCGAGGTGGTAGGAGCACTTCTTGAGCAGCTGCATGTGGGCATGGTGGCGCTTGAGCAGGTGGGGACTCAGGTCCGAGGTCAGGAACTCCTGCAGGGTGTTGCGGCGCTCCATGTAGGTCCTCCACGCCTCTGGTTCCAGCAGCTGCTGATCCTCCACCTCCTCCACGTCCTCCACATCCAGGAAGGACTGTGGACTGTCCAGCTTCATCTTGGCCAGGCCCAGGCCTGCCACCGGGGAGGTCATTGGGAGCTGGCAGGGAGGGCTGTGCATGAGCTTCAGAAGTCAGGCTGGCCATGCCGCCCACCCAGGCCCTGTGGCCTCCCGGGCACACTCTGAGGGGAGGCTGCTGCAGGACAGCAGTGGGCTGGACAACTGGACAAAAATGGATGCTGGGGTCAGAAAGCCTCTTCTGAGGGGCCAGCGGTCCTTTGCAGTAATGAGACAGAGCAGGGCTAGGGGTGGGCCCTGGGGGCAGCACAGTCTGGACTGAAACCCAGCCAAGGCCTACCTGGCACAACCTCAGCTCCTCCTCTGACATGGAGCGGTGCTCTCGTGGCTATGGAGAGGGCTGGGGGTAACCTAATGGCTTGACACACCCCTCGGGCACTCGTGGATGCCCTCACCCACCAGTTCCCCCCGGGGACCCTCTGCATCCTCCAGGTTCTAGAGCAGAGGGACGGGGCTAGCTGGTTTTTTTTTCACTCGTCACTCGTGGATGCCCTCACCCACCAGTTCCCCCCGGGGACCCTCTGCATCCTCCAGGTTCTAGAGCAGAGGGACGGGGCTAGCTGGAGGCAGGGCCAGGGAGTCGCCTCATCCTAGCTCCTGGGCACTGAGCCCTCACCATCCCCTTGGGTCTTGTGTGCCCAGGAGAGCTCACTGACTCCAGAGGAAAGGGGCAGAGCCCATCTGCATCTCACAGACGGTAAGCTTGAGGCTGAAAGCTTGGAGCTTGCTCTCCTTGAATGTTTGGTAGGCAAACACTACCACTCAGCTACACCTCCAGCCCTTTTTGCTTTTCTTATTTTGAGATAAGATTTTGCTAAGTTTCAGGAACTGGCCTCAAACTTGTGATCTCCTGCCTCAGCCTCCTGAATAGCTGGAATTACAAGTATGTGCCACTGAAGCCACCCCCCACACATCCTCCTGAATAGCTGGAATTACAAGTATGTGCCACTGAAGCCACCCCCCCCCACAAGGTATCTCTAAGTTGCTCAGGCTGGCCTCCCACTCCTGGGCTCAAAAAATCCTCCTGCTTCAGCTTCCCCAGTCACTGGGACTACAAGAGCACACCACTGTTCTGGGCTGGTTCCAAGGTTTGAACCTAGGACCCCAGGGTCTACCCTCATCCCCAGACCCAGGTTTCCGACTCCTGAGTGTCGGTGGAGGGGCTGGTGCACCAACTATAAGGCTGGCCTCACCCCCATTCACCTCTGACCCCCCAGAACGCCCTCCCAGACTGCCTTGTCCCAGCAGGTCGCCGCCCCTCTGTGCCTTTCCCCATACCCCTCCTCACCCTGAGCACCCACCCTTCTCTCCGAGAGTCAGGCCACCTCCCCGGCTTGGGTGGGACCTCTAGGCGGACGGGGACCCTGGCGCACTGTTCTGGGCCTTCCGATCCGACCTCATGCCATCAGGCCCGGGTTGCCATGGAGACCGGAAGCCATTGTGACGCCCATCCGGCCAGGCCCGGTGCAGGGCCAGAGGGAAGCGGGATCTCTGCTGCGCTAGCACCGCAGGGAGCGGGCGCAACCCGGCGGGCCATGGGTAGCGAAGTGCAGCTCCCCACTGAGGCCGCCTGGTCTCCGCCCCCCTGAGCATAGCTCTGGCCCTGACCGGGATCCGTGGCTGGGGCCCCCTTGTGGAGCAGGCAGCAGGGGAGTCAGCGGCAGCTTCTCCCACAGGCTGCCTGTGCTGGGGCCTTTCCAAGCCCCAGCTTTGGTCTGGGCCTGGATAAATGTGGTCTCCATATCTCCAGGGAGTTTTCAGGTTCTCCATCCCACCTGTTTCCCCAAACTGGACAAAGAACCCATGGGGTAACCATCCAGCACCCCCACAAGGAAGCCAACCTGGGGTCTTCCCAGAAACATCCTAGACACCCCAAGGTGCCCACCTCAACTTGGGAGGATGGAGACTGGAGGGAACCCCTTTTCCCGGAGGTCGGGGCCAAGAGGACATACTCCCGAGTCCTCCCAGCCTGTGGCAGCCAGGGCCTCCTTAGCCCCGGGTGACCCCACCCTTGGGAGGTGGCTTTCCTGCCCTGCCCATCCTGCTGCCCCCAGGCCTGATGCTGGAGGCCTCAGAGACTGGGTTGTGGAGTGCTACAGGGCTCCTGCCTAGAATCTGACTCTAAAGGCTAACAGTGGTCCTTGGTGTTGGTTTGGGGTTTGGTTTTGATTTGGGGATTTTGTTTTCTTTCTTATTTAATATTCATTCTATAATTCAGTCTTTTTATGTCTTTTGACTTCTGAAAAATATTACTATTGAATTCACTTTATACCAGTTGGTATTTCTATCACCTGGTGTCAGAACCCCTTTGACAGAGACAGAAGAGACACATTTCTGCCTTCCAAAGAAGCCAGCAGTCCACTGTTCCTCACAGGGGAAAACTGGAACATGCTTTCATTTGTGGGTGGCGTGATTCCTGTTAAGCTTTGACTTGTACCATTTAGCTTTTAACGGGGTCAAATGTTATGGGTCAGATTTTCGCCTGGCCTTCTGAAGACCAGTGCTACATTGTTTTGTAGCTTTGGAACAGGGCTTTGTCCATAGTAGACATTCAACAAGTTTGATGAGTTTTAACCCCTTCAAGGACATGGATCTTATCTCTGACTTATATCAATTTTCTATTTTCCTGTCTATTCAACTATTATCATTAAACTCTTTAGAACACCCCCATCTTTTTTTTTTTTTTGTACCAGAGATCAAGCTCAGGACCTCGCGCTTTCAAGGCAGGCGGCACCACCCCATCTTTCAAGACCCTTGAGGCTAGCCACAGACCCTTGGGCTCAAGTTGTCCTATTGCTTCAGCCTCTCAGGTAACCGAAACTGCAGGTGCACACCACTGCACTCACCTCCAAAACATTAATTTATGACTGAATCTTGGAGGCAGGGCTTGTAGCTCAGTGGTAGAGCACTTCCTTGTGTGTGTGAGACCCTGGGTTTGATCCCCAGTACTGCAAAGAAGTATGTGTATCTATAATTTCATCTCCATGGGTATTCCAGGAGTTCATATTATTTCACTTTATTTAAGGAGCCTTTGGAATAAAATGTTAATAATTGAAGAAGGTGTTTGTCTAAATCTATCAATATGGCAGATTTATAATTAAGTTTATCGGTACATTTTAGGTATACACAATGATCACATCCATCACAGGGAATTTGTACCTGTAAATGATATATTTGATTTCTTTCTCATTGTGTTTATTGGAACATTTTAGGTATACAGGATATATTCTATTCTTATTTTTTTCCCATTCCCCTGCCTTCCCTTCAACCCTTCTTCCTCTCCTTAGTTACAAAAGTTTTGTTTCCATCTTTTCCCTTTTTTTTCTTCCTCTTCCTCCCTTTCCCTGCCCCCCTCCCTAGTTCCCCTATCCATTTGAGCATTTTCTTTCAATTTCACAATATCTATTATACATTTTGGTCCTCATTTACACTCTGTTTCTCACACCAGAGAAACAATGCAGTATTTACACATGTCAAATTTATTTCAGTTAAGAGTACAATCTCAAGGTGCATCCATTTATCTATAAATGTCTCATTTTCCTTCTTTATGGTGGATTAGGACTCCATTGTATAAAAAACCCACATCTTTATCCATTCATCAGTTGATGGGCATTTGGGCCGCTTCCAAGACTGAGCTGTTACAAACTGTGCTGCTATAAACATGGGTGTGCAGTATGATGCTTTTAATTCTTTCAGGCAGACACAGAGAAGGGGAACACTGGTTCAGATGGAACCACCAGTTTTAGCTTTTTGAGGACTCTCCACACTGAGTTCCACAATGGTTGCACCAGTCTGCACTCCCACCAATAGTGGAGAAGGGTTCCTTTCTCCCACAGCCCTGTCAGCATTTGTTATTGGTTGATTTCTTGATAGCAGCCATTCTTTCTGCAGATGTAATATCAGAGCTTTTTTTTTTTTTATTTGCATCTCGTGAATGACTAGGGATGTTGAACACTTTTTCATATATTTATTTGCCATTTGTATTTCTTCATCTGAGAAGCATCTATTCATTTCAGATACCCATTTTTGGATCGGGTCTTTAAATTTGGGGGTTCTGATTTTTTTTTTAGTTCTTTTTATATTCTAGATAGTAGTCCTTTGACTGGGGAATGGCTGCTAAAATGTTTTTCCGACACTGGATTGTTTCTTCACTCCGTTGGTGGTTTCTCTTCTCTTGCAAAACCTTTCTTTGTTTGTTTCTTTGAGCTAGAGTCTCAATAGGTGGTTCAGGTTGGCCTTGAATTCACAGTGATTGTCCTGCTTCAGCCTCCCAAGTGCTGGGATTACAGGTGTGTGCTAGTTGCTGTTGATTTAAGGGTCTGAGGGACAAGAGCTAGAGCATGTGGACAAAGGGGTGCTGTCTGAAGGTCTGGGGGGTCTGGCACCCGGGAGCAGGGAGGGCACAAAAAGTGGTAGGAGGAAGACCCCTCTCTCCAGGAAGAATGTGGGTGGCAGAGCGCTCCCCTGCTCTCTCGAGCCAGCTTGCTCCTTGGCCCCACCCTGCCCCACTTTTTGTTCTATTCCTAATTTCACATCTCATTTTTAATTAAACTTCTAATTAAACTGTGTGGTCGATTCCCACACAGTTGTGAGGACCCTTTTTCTCCTCCTGCAGAGCCGTGCAGAGCTGCTGAACAAGACACAGCAGGACACGTACTGACAGCCGCAGGGCAGTGTGCACCCACAGGAGCCCACCTGTCACCCGGCTGCCCGCCTTGGCCTCTGCCGTCACCACCAGATCCACGGAGTCACTCCAGCAAGCTCACAGCCCAATTCCTGTCGTCTCACCCCTACTGCTGAGCCATAGGGGCCCCTGGCCAGGGGTGGACCAGTTTGTTGCCAGTTGTGTGTGAGCTGGGTGGGCAGGGAGCACTTAGGCCCTGAGGGTGGCACACCGTGGGCAGAGAGGTCCTTGCTCTGAAGGAGGGCTACACCCCAGCCACAGGGACCCTCGAGGCTTCGAGCTCCAGATACATGGCTCAGGGCTTCTACAGCCAGCTTCAGCCAAGCACCCAGAGCCCCTGGTCTTTGCCTTACAGGTGGGAAAAGTGAGGCACAGAGAGGCTCAGCACCATGCCCACAGTGAGTCGGTAATGGGGTTTGGAGCTGGGCTGCCTACGCCTGCCCAGAGCGAGCGCCACCACACCTTCCCCTCACACTGCATCCCCACCTGTCCCGTGGAAAAGGTGAGCTAATGGGGGAGAATGTGGCCGGAACTCTAGGGGAGGGAGCAGGGTGCTGGGAATGTCTGGAGCCCAGGCTGACTGCTGTCACCAGCAGCTGCCTTGTGAGCTGTGTAAGGGGAAACCTGCAGGGTGCAGGGAGAGGGAGGACATGGGCCTGGGGGTAGAAGAGGGAGAGGTGGCGGGACTGAGGGGCTCCCTGGGCAGAGGACACAGGCCGGATGGCACCTGTGCAGCTGACACTGGGGACAGGGCCTGGTGCCCCGTCAGCTGGCTGCAGGGTGAGGAAGGGGTAGGGTGTGGGCACTGTCAGGTTGGGATGGGGTGTTGGGTGTACACGTGCGGGAGCTGTGGGGTGTAATGATGTGGAGGTGCAGGGGAGGGTATAGGGTCGGGTGGGTGCAGCATGACGGGTTCTGGCTAGGGTAGGCTGAGCCCGCTGGGTCGGACGGTCCAGGAACAGCCCAGTTGCCAGGAACTCTATGGCCTGGTTGACGAAGACCCTCTAGGCCCCTCTCCCTCTGGGGGGCTCCTGAGGCCTCAGACTTTCTGTTGTGGTCACCAGGAGACAGGTGCACCTTCTCTGGGAACTGAGTTTCCCCAGCAGATTCCCCTCTCTGTCCTGGCCCCAGGGAGGAAGGAGGAAGGGAGAAGAAGACTGATCCACCTTGGGGTAGGGTAGGCTTCTGTGCTGTCACTGCCCGCCTCCTCCCCTCTGATTCTGCCAACTGGGCTCCAGCTGCACACACAAAATGTGCTGAGTCCGGAGGCCAGGACCTTGTGGCTTTGCAGAACAGGGAGTATCTGAGGAATCTGCATTCAGTGCTCCAAATGCGTGACCCCACATGGTCTGCGAGGGCGTGAGGGCTCTTACAGCCAAAGGAGATCTCCCTATGGCTTCTTGGTTGGAGACAGGAAGCTGGGTTTCCTGCCAGGTTTCCTGCCAAACTTGAAATGGAGGACTTAAGGGAACTGCTGTGCAAAAACTCTGGCAGGCAAATGGAAGGCAGATGATGGGCAAAATCCCTGCAGGGCTGTGCAGTGACAACCTCACATCCTCTCCCAAAGCCTCTCCTGATTTTGCATTTGTAATTATATTTTTCTGGGACTCTCCTCCCCCAAGCAAGATGAGTCTCTGTGTGGCCTGGCCTGTACCTCCCAGGGCCCAGGGCCCTCCAGGCTGCTCAGGCTGTGGGCAGGGGCTTGGCCATCTGAGCTCCCCAAAGGAGGAGTGGTGCGCTCATGGGGTGACAGCTGTCCAGGAAGCTCTCGTCTGCTCTGGCAGGGATGTAGGAGGCTCCTTCTCTGTGCCCAGTGGCCCACTCAGCCAGGTGAAGTCGGTGCGGCGATGATGCGGTGGAGGAAGGTCTATGGCGATCCTGTGTGAGCCAGGGCTTGGGGAGGACCATCTAGGTGCTACCAGCAAGATGTGAGCAAGGGGAGGGCTGGCCCGCGGGGACCCCCTAGCCCCGCCCCACTGCCGTGCTGGGAACTGGGCCGGCAGGGGCTTGCTGCCCTCACCGCCTTCGAGGGCTGCTGGGTGGCGGACAGTTTGCTTCAGTGGCAGCCTGAGCCCATCTGGACTTGGCCACCACTCCTTGCCCATGTGCTGGCCCCTGGCCCGTGTCTCCAGTGTGGGACCCGGACGTCCCCAGCCTCTTCCTCCCTGCCAGCCGTTGGACGTCTCTTGGCCATGGAGTGACCCTGAAGCCACATCCACCTGCCCTCCTCAGAGTGCCTGCATCACCACCATTTCATTTTACGTGAAAAGCCCTTGTGCACTGAGGGTCTCTGGGCTGGCATCTGCTCTGCACAGGGTTTTTGTGTTGCTGAAAGGTTTGGCCAGCGTTTGACTGAGTCGTTTTTGCACAAGTTCAGCTGTAGTGCTGAGCAGTGCCAGGGCTGTGCAGGGACCCATCTCTGCCTCGAGGCTGCCAGGGCTCAGGCACATGCACTTGGTGGGCCTGGGAGGACAAAGCCAGTCCTCCGGATGGGGCCTGGGCTTGGCGAGGGCAGAGCAGCCAGTCCGGTCCCCTCCCCGGCCTCGCCCACGGCCCCGCCCCCTGCTCTGGCTGCCCACAGCGGCTCTCACCTGTGGCGGGGCAGATCTCCGCTGCCACACCCCAGGGATCCAGGAAGGCGGGCTGTGTGTTCTGGGCTGGGGTTCGCCCTTCTGGACGCAGGCAAGAGGCGGGTGGGGCTGCGCACTCACGCCTTGGAGGGCGCCTCCGGAGTGACCGCGGGGTCGGCGCAGTCCGTCACCCCGCACCTGCTGTCCCCCACCGGCCCTTCCAGTTTCTCGCTCGAACTCGGGCGTCCCCATGGGCCTCCGTCGGCACCCCAGCCCGACGTCAGCCTGGGGCATAGAGCCCTTCCTCAGGAGGCGCCTGACATTTCTGTCCTTCTTTTGGGACAAGATCTGGCCCGCGGAGGAGCCAGAGGATGACACCCCAGTGGCGCCGGGCCCAGAGGCGGAGC